ATTATTTTGTTTTGAGTTCAAATTTCATGACCAACTTGGCGAAAATGTCAATAGGAGTTACTTTCGGTTTCATAAAAAAAATATTTTTTGGAATGATTCAAAAACACAATCACCACCACATCAATAAGCGGAAAAAACACTACTAGTTTTCCTGTTCAATCGCAGTCTTCCAAAATGAGGAAGTTAGCAATATCGCCAACTTGGATGTGATCACACTGTATATGAGCCTAATGGATTGTAAATTGTATCTACAATTAGGTCAGTCGAAGAGAAAAAATCATTCAGGAATGTCACTAAAATATGGATTCGCAAATAACCAATGATCGATAACAAATATTATTTAACGGTAACATTCCTCAGTGAAAAATTATTTAACCTTGAAACTATCTTCAAATCATGATGAACTGACGTTGAATTGTTGTTGAGAAATTGGAAAATATAATATACCAGAAAGCACGTTGTCTTTTTTATTATTATTATTATATATACTTTATTGCCCAAAGAAAAAATGTTGTTGACAAAGTTAGTGAATGAATATATATATTCATGGGACATGAATGTTCCTACTAGGTTAAAAATGATCGGTATAGAACTCAGTCAAACTGTAATAAGGTCTACTACTCAAAATATCTTTAAATATTGTTCTGTACTGATTGGTATCAATATTTATCTCTTAAGTGTAACTCGGCAGATTGTTATACATCTTCACACCATCGTAAAATAAGGAGTCCGTGATCATAGAGTTGTCAGGGATAGGTAATACAAATACAGACTCCAGCAAATTGAGGCTACACACCCCCCAAAAAGGTATACCGTACCTTAAATGAGACTCTACCAAAGCGTGATATGCTGTTTTCGCAGTATAAACTCCCAGTTCTCTAGCAAAAACTCTCACTGCATAAAAGTCGGTGGAAATTTTACTTTTCCTTTTTCTGATGTGAGCGTCAAATTTCAGTCCACCGTCTATATACAGTTTCAGAAATTCAGTACAATCTCTGTTCTCAATGATACCGCTCGCTACAGACAAATTCTGAAGTGAACATTTGAAAGTCTCAATATATGTTTTGTATATCATGAGCTATTGTCTCATTGAGTATAGCTATACCTTTACTATGCCACAATATAGTGGTGTCGTCAGCGAAAAGGGTGAATGTTCCAGATATACTTATGTTCATCAAATCGTTAGTATACAACAGAAACATTATGGGACTGAGAACCGATCCCTGTGGAGTTAATGGTCAAACATTTCACTAAATTTGAATGAGTTAACTGTCAAAATGCAGCTCAGATTATTCACTTCAATATGTATGAAAACCAAACTATTTGAGTTGCTTTTTCCAGGTTAAACTTCACTCTATCACAGATTAACACTTTCGAACACCTTTTCTTAACAGTTCATTCAAGAGCAAATAATTTCAATACTATAGTGCACCAAAGTCACTATCATTTAATTCTGTTTCACGACTTTCGCTCGCCCTGCATATTCCAAGCATAACGTTTATATTCTAACACTAAATAGGTCACTCGTTGGTAAGGGAAACTTGTTAAGAGACTTCACTGTTTCAACTTGTCATCGATCTAAACTCGTTCCGAAAAACAATTTTCGAAAGTGATTTACTTAAATATATTCTCTGCAGAATGACTCGAGTATTCCTTTCTGAACAAGTGATTGCATAACATCTCTGTCAAAACTACGTGTAGAAAACTATAACAGAATTATAGAATTCCTCAAAAAACTTTGATAATCTATAGTGTATATATATAAGAGCAGGTATTTTTGTTTTATTTAGTTTTTTATTTAGTTTTTAGGTGAAAGTTGCAAGCTATTTATTGTATCATTCTGGAAAGTTGTTTCAAAAATTAATGACGGATGAAATGTTATCACACTGCAACTAAAATACCATTTCAATCAGTATCTGGTATTTTTGACAATAATCATCAACCCCTATAGACGCTTCCATAATATTCAAAAAAAGTACTCATATTCGTGAATGCAAAACGAAATTTAATTACATCCACCGAAATTTTTGAATTTGTAATTCAACAATAAAAAATTAACCCAATACGTCAGAAATCACAAATGATGAAAGATATTCAAAAAGTTCCTACCTTTTTCTGTGGAACATGTGTCTATGGAGGCCTCATTTGTCCGTGGTCGCGTGGTCGAACTTTTTCGACCGGGAAGGAAGCAAGCGAGTCGGTCGATAAATGTCGGCAAACTGACTGACCCGATGCCGACGTCGCCGTCTCGATGCCTTCGATTCAACCCCTCTTCTCGCCCACATACAGGGATAGTTTCGCCAACGCGACTATATCCTGTTGGTAGGATTCCGATGGAAGGTTGGATAGGTCGAGGACATTCGAGGAGTCAGGTGGATTCCGGCATAGTTTTCAAATCAATAATTTGGACGAGGCGAATTAACGAAATGTGCAAGTCGAGTCTCATCAAGTATAGATCAGTTCTATCATATTTTCCCATATTTCGATATTTTCTGTGAAAAAGTCCAAGCACTCATGAGGTAAAGGTGTGTGTATGTCCATTCTTGAAATCAATGGCAGATGCAGTTCTTCAAAACCTTCTGTTAACCAACTTGTTTAAACAAATATTTTAGAGAAAATCGTTACTCAGTAAAATACGTATAACAATCCAGAAAATCACTCAAGTAGCTTTGTGCGACTATGGGAATAAAAATACTATCACCAAAGATGACAGAAATCTTGCGTTTCTAACAGCTAACTGAACTTCAATTTCTACAACTGAAAGAAATGTAATTCAAACTGGCCGAAGGCCTCAGAAGATTGCATGTAAATATGTCCAATGATCAATAATCATGATTCGAACTAGCTGTTAAAAAATCTTGGAATGGATGAGTTACTATGCCTTCTGGATTGTGATCCAGAAGGCATAGTACTGGTATTGGCAGACCAACTTATCACCCTAGTTTAGGACAAATATAATAATATAGTGAAAGAATGCCTAATAGTAAGATGAAAGAAAGAAGCAAAAAAAACCTTCAAACCATCACAGTATAAATCATTCACCAAGAGGACAATATATGGGGACTAGGGCCTCTACAACTCCGAGGTGGTGAAGAGATACTTTTTTCAGAGAGACGTGATACCATTTTCCGGATCAATCTAAGACTAGTACTTAGACAAAATGAAAGTTTAGTACCAATGCAGGCCAGAAAATATATGGGGCTAAAATCAAGCTATATGCATTGGCTATACTCAATGGTATAAAAACACTTTACTCACGCCGGAACGGAAGCACTGCCTCTCAACATTGTATAAGAATGGAATGAGCGTTTTCCAAAAATCGTCACGTCAGACGACTCACAGGTGGGGACTAAAGTTAACTGCCCACAATTTTAGTTTTCTAACTTGAATATAGAGTATTCATATGTGAAATAGGGGAGTAGTTAACAATGTTCTAATACTTTTCACATTAAGATTATCAGTATAAGTCAAGTTGCAGACATCACACCAACTCCTCTATCTGAAGTTAAGACTCCACTTCAGCTCTAGGGATTATCCTGAATCTTTCACTTCAGGAAATAATCAAACAACAAGCGACCTAGGTGGACAGATGAAAATTTTATTCCATTCCATTGAAGTTCATGCTGGAACACAGAGCCAAACAATAGTAGAAGGTCTGATTTCCAGAATCATAACTGATTAAGGACTGCGACAGCTCTTTAAGACATCTAACAGTGAAACCAAGTGGTGTGGGTGTCTTTCACAATGTAATGAAATGAAATGAGGAAATTGGTGTCTTGTCAAAATAAGCAAGCAATATTCCAATCTTTATTTTAGAATTCTATTGTGGACGAAAATCCATCAATAAGAATATCTCTCATGCCTGAACATTCTATACACGCAGAATTGATATTCGGTTTCATGTTATAACTTAGGTTTTTCTCCAATAATTGAGTTTCATCTTGTGTGAACTCAGTTTCAGATAGCTATCGAATAACTTATAGTTTGAATAGTTTTCTAAACAGTGGGTCCTTTTCGTATCTTGGAAGGTGTAAAGTGAAATTGGTCGTTCAAGTTTTTTCCTCTGTCTTGACTTGTGGTTCTTGCCCAAAACTTCATATTGGCCAAACGGCCAAGTCACCATTGCAGGCGGAGTAATTTCGTACTTCAGTCAGTTGCGTAACGAAATGACTGGTACGGGCAAAACTCAAAATGATTCCGGAAAACAACGGTGCCATTTCGCATCGAGCGGAACCTGTACAGTGTTGCGTTAGAAACCATTGGTTTCTATGGCTGCGCAATTACAAGTCACCATTGCAAGCGGAGTAATTTCGTACTTCGATCAGTTGCGTTACGAAATGACTGATACGGGCAAAACTNTTGGTTCCTATGGCTATGCACTTACCACTCACCGTTGCATGGGGAGTTATTTCGAATTCCATTCAGTTACGTTACGAAATGACTGGTACGAGTAAAACTCAAAATCCTTTTTGAAGTAAACGATGTCTCCCTCCTACTATGAGTTGAACATGTACGGTGTTACGTTATGGACATTAGCTCCTAGGGCTACGCTCTTATCAGTCACCATCACAAGTCACCATATCATGGCTTCTATGGCTGCGCAATTACAAGTCACCATTGCAAGCGGAGTGATTTAGTACTTCGGTTAGTTGCGTTACGAAATGACTGGTACGGGCAAAACTTAAAATTCTTTTGGAAAACAACAGTGCCATTTCGCATCCAGCCGAACATGTACATTGTTACGTTACGAACCATTGGTTTCTATGGCTGCGCAATTACAAGTCACCATTGCAAGTGGAGTAATTTCGTACTTCGTTCAGTTGCGTTACGAAATGACTGGTACGGGCAAAACTCAAAATTCTTTTGGAAAACAACAGTGCCATTTCGCATCCAGCCGAACATGTACAGTGTTACGTTACGAACCATTGGTTTCTATGGCTGCGCAATTACAAGTCACCATTGCAAGCGGAGTAANAAAGGATTGGGAATGAAAATTGGAGTAGAAAATTCACTATTTATATTTTAAAAGATAGTAACGATTGTATTTCCATATTATCTGACATTCTGCACAGCTTTCAATAGAGGATATTTGTCTCCACACAATCCTAGAAAATCATCAGTATCGAAAGACCAAACCATCATTCCTCCTAATTTTTTGGATATTGCATAATCTACTTTGTGTTTCAAGGATGTAACATCTTCGTAACCTACCCATTGGTTTCCACCAATTTTGTGTGGGACTTTCTGTTCGTCATCCCAAACGTATGTCCAGTCTGAGTGAAATTCACAAATCTGAAAGTTATCACAATTATTATCAGTTAATTGGTTAGCGAAAGTATATACACTTTCAAAGTCATACAATTAGATTTACTGTGAGTTAGTTTCTGGTAACTCAGCACAGTTGGAAAAATGTTAAGATTTGACTGATTATTTGAGATGGAAAATATAAACTTTGGTTGATAAGAGTGCCACTAAAATAAAAAAAAGGAGTGGATGGCTGATGGAATTATAATAATTTACATAATTGAGGGCAACATAAAACAAATATCTATAACAAATTGAATAAGAAAAAGTGATTTTCATATACTTCAATGTCCATTTTCGAAATTTGTTGTTTTGTATGAATTTTCCTTACAATCTGTAGGTATCTGAATAAAAGTTTGTTCATGATACACACAACTGATTCATTCTATTTTTCTTCCTCACTTTTAAATGTTGAAGAACTGGAAAACCAGAAAAGTTTTCCACCAATAACTTATGTATTCTGAAATTTTTTTCCGGAATGCTAAAAACTATATTTCAATAATATTATTAGACTTCAATGAACAATTCTTAATTAGAAAAGAAATACGATCTTGAATATGGTAGTATGTTGAGAAAAAATATCCCAATTCAGAAATGAAAACAGTTCAATAACAAATATGGAATGGCTACTTTTATTACATAATATGGAATTGAAAAAAACAGTTAATTCGTTAGATCAGTATATTGAAGAATACATGACAAGCGGGATGGAAATCGGCAGCAGTGGCGACATGTTATGTATTAGCAATGAAAATAATAATAGAAATATTCTAAATATTTCTGGAAAATTGCAACTTTATTGACTTCCCAGTTAACAGTATTAATTTGAACAGCACGTCCTCTGATTCCAAAAAAACCTAAGAATTGATATTTCAAACAAAACCAATTGTATTCATCAAAAACATTTGAGTTATTGGTTGTTGGTATTATTTTATTTGACAATGGACACGTGTCAGATAACTAATTGAAAAGTTGACAATTAGTCTTAGTGTTTATCAGGTTGCTATTGTGCCATATTAACAATTTAAATGGATTTGAACATGCTGAGTCCTACTTCGAACGAGCAAACTAGGGTACCAATAGAAAAATAGTAAATGCTTCTTTACCTCATTATATCCTAGGAGACCTTCCTGTTGAGTGTAGGGTCCTGCAATGCCTGCTCCTCGAGCAGGATCGTAAGGGTTAGTCTTGGTTTCATCTGCTAATGTATAACTCTGCCCATAAGTGAGTACTCCTAAGTTGAGTTTTGATGGATCAGCTCCATTGTCCAACCAGTATTCGATTCCAGCGGACTGAACAGTTATTATTGTAATATTTAGTAGATATTTTGATATAATATGGTGGCGTGATTGATTTTGATACAGCTCAAAATGAAGAAAGTTCATGGACGAAGCATTCAAAAAATTGCAAACCGCAGACACGTGTTCTTGGCTCAATGACTTCATCAGTACGATATAATCAAGTGCAAGGATGGGCAGATAAGTACTATTCTGATTATTACCATATTGATTTCAATTTGAGAGCCACCGGTTGATAGCTATTTCAGCTTGTTGGGCGTCGTCAGTACCGGGCAGGCTATCCTCGATTGAAGACAAAATGTGAATCACCAAGAAAAGTACTTGTTGACAATAACTGCGTAAACGCAAGCGAAACAAAAGTGGAACCATCTATAAGTGTAACACTCAAGTCAACTTGCCAAGTTTTTATGGTTATGGATTGGCCAATCAACCGACACCTGCGGAAGCAGAAATTTGGGAAGTTATCCTGGAAAGCCATCGGAAAAGGAATCTACATGTTTCTAAAAATGATATGAAATCAAGAGAGGGTAATGCAGTCAAGCTACTGGAAAATAATTCCATGAAAATAAGAAGGTAAATAAATAAGTACTATTCTGATCATTCCCATATTGATTCCAATTCAGGAGCCACCGATAGACAGCTGTTTCAGCCTGTTGGGGATTGTCAGTACCAGACAGGCGGTCCTCGATATGGGTTATTTTTCCGGGTTTCATTCCGTGTTCTGTATTTTTGACCCTCACAAGGATCATTTTCACGACGTTTCGCTATCTATTGAGGCGCTAGCCAAAGTTAACTTTGTGGAATGTGGAATCACCCTGAATAGAATAGACAAGACGACAAGGATACGCCAAAGTCTATTGGACAGGACATCGCACATATACTTAAAAATATACAACCACCGACCAGAATAATACCGCACAATGAATAACAAGCACTGAAAACTCGACGAGATAATGGGAAGATCTTCATTCTATCAGCGAATAAAGGCAATGCAACAGTAGTGTTAGCACCAAAGATTACGAAACCAAATTGATGAAACTACTAGAGAACCTAGCCTTCAAGGAAATAGCTGGATATCCAACTACTTATCTAAATTAACGAGGAAATTAATTCCTAAAGAGAAATTATCGAAGTGCCCTAAACTTCATATTCTTCCCATAGTCCATAGAGAAGGAGCACCACTTAGACCAATCGTGAGATCCATAGGTTCACTAGTAGGTACATCAATTAGTGAAACACGTTGTTCACCCATTCCAACCAGATTCAGAAAAGGTCGATTGGTACGTTCGCAATGCCGATCATTTAATAGATATAGTGCAAATACAAACGGTTAGCGCAGACGATATCCTTGTAAGCTTTAATGTGACTTCTTAATTCAACCATGTACCCACCGTAGAGGCACTAGAAATAATCTGAAAGAAATGTAAACCAGAAGATCATATCATCACCTTGGCTGAACATTGTTGAACACGTATTTCATCTATAAAGAGCAAAGATATAGACACATTGAGATACTACTGGAGTATCAAGGAGTGTACGAAGTACCGTGCCAAGACTGTGACAACACTTACATCGGCCAGACTAACAGGTGAATCAACGTCAGCAAGGATGAACATACACATAGTAGTGTAAGGAAAAGTCGCCACATCTTCCCTCTTCCAACATGTATTGACGACAGAACACAATATCAATGTTGAGAACACAACAACATTAGCAAGCAATGAAAACTTCTACTCTCGAACAGAGAGGATATGCTATCGACATTGAAAAATGACCCAGTGGTATGATGCGCAAAGGTTGCCAGCAACATGGAGATCCATCTTATCCCTCTACAAAAATAAAACAGATCGCACAACCCCAAGAGCAAAATTCAGCACGTGATAGTTCAGGCAAAATGACAAATGAAGGTAGGCCAGCCCAGGTAATCAGACCAACGCAGGGGAAACAACTCAGATGAAAGGTACCTGCCACATCTATCAATGTAAGTCCAAACTTTAGAGATCACCAGAAGATGGCAAATGAGACTTGGTCGAAACATCGTGAAAATGATCCTTGAGAGGATCAAAAACACAGAACACGGAATGAAATCCGGAAAAACAACATACTCTGTGAGAATCTTTGATTTAAACGTCGAAGTCACCAACAGGAGCCTTCCGCGCATTTGTGGTTCTAGTAAGGAGACCTAGAATTTCTAGGATACACTTGATATTACCACACCTGCGTGATTTCCGAGTCCAGGATATGAATTTGGAGTCGTTCGCACGTAAACAAGGTTGATTGTATATAGGTTGTTAGGATATCTTGTAACCTTGATGAGGTCAGATGTCGATATATTCATGATATTTTGTTACGTGTAATTAAAGTATACGTACCACAGTTGAAGTACTATTCGCACCATTCTGATTATCTAAGGTGGATGGGTATAGGGGTGCGGGGTGTCCTAAGTATGGATCATAACTTCCGTGGAAATCATAAGCCATAACGTTGATATGATCCAAGATTCTGGAAAAAACTTTTTTTCTGTTCATTTCATTTTAAATGTCATTAATCAGGTTATGTTTCTGAACATGAATATTTTTTGACTTAACTGAACGCACCGAAGCATAGAAGGACTTGAATAATTAAGAAAAAGTTGGAATATCGATTTTGGTTTTGATTACAAAATTTTTACTCAGAACCCCTTGTTTAAAAAGTGACGAATGGAAGGAGCATTGTGTAAAGACTTTTCTTTTGTCTAGTTCTAGTAAGTCACTGATCCTGTAGTTGATTCCCTCATGTAAGAGTTGTAAATAATTTTCACCGGTCGAATAACCGTCGATAAAAAAATCTAACTATGATATATTTGAAGATCATATTTCATTTGAATGCAACCTCTGCTTTTTAGATGCTAGACTCAACTATAACTCTTCTTTCAACTCGCAGGTCAGAGAACGGAAGTCTAGTACTTTTACCCTATTTTTGAATCACTAAATTTTAAAAATTGATGATTATTTCGACAAGGGAATGTGTCATCGTTTTGAAATATGTCAATAGTACTTGAAATAGTTCCGTAATTATTTTCTTTGCCACATGCACTGATTGTGAGTCAGAGAAAAGCTTTCAACAAGTATCTGAATTATAATCACAAGCACATCCATATCACTGGACCTAATGATCACTTTCTGGATGCCCAGCATGACTATGCCTGTGAGGTGTAAACTGAGGTGCTCATCTGCCTCCTCCAATCCCTCCAGATCAGCATTTCAGAGAAGATAAAAGATACCCAAGGCTAAAATCGCACTATGTCGAAGCATTCCTCTGCAACTGACCGCCATTGTTACCAGTAACTCAATCTGGATTCAGGAAAGGATACAGCTGCACAACTGCTCTTCTATATGTCGTAGATGATGTATTTAGGGCTAAAGATCGAGGTTCATGTACGGCACTGGTATTGCTCGATTTTAGTAGGGCTTTTGATACCATAAACCACGACTTATTACTAGTTATTCTCCATCACTTAGGGCTTTCAGATGGAGCGATATCACTATTGCGTGAATATCTCTGTGAAAGACAACAGAAAGTAAACATCAATAGCAACTGCTCTCAATACCTCACTATGAAATCTGGAGTTTCCCAGGGATCCACATTGGGCCCTTTACTATTTACAATGTACACCGCGAGCATTCTGAAATGTCTTGAATTCTGTTCTGCACATTTGTATGCGGACGATACTCAGCTTTATTATGATTTTCCATCGTCTGATGTAATTGATGTTTGTATGAAAATGAATACTGATCTGAAACCATTCGTAAAAGCCGCTGCTGACCATTGTTTATTCATAAATCCGAGTAAATCAAGTATCATTGTTTTTACACCAAAAAATGATCGAAGTATTGTACACGATATGAACATCATGATTAANATGAGTGGTAAAAAACATAGAAAGTTTCAATCCTCTTTTTTTCTTTATGAGCTCTCTTTAGACTCATTCTAATGGAGCCGTGACAAACGGCAGCACAAAACTGATTGGAAATTTGTATTTATGTAATTTGATTAGAAAATGTGTTTTGCGTGGTTGTGGATCCATGATAACTGCTCTACGTTTATTATTTTCATTCATTACCAGCTCTAATTGATTTCAAGGTTTCCTTTACTTTTCTCTGGTGAAGGTATTGAATCATTACCCCAACTATCGTTAGAAAATAAACACAGAACATCAAGGCTTTGTGAACTGACAAGTAAAAATGGTTCAGTAAAGTGTTATCATCCTAAAAAGTGAGTACCCATGCCAAGAGGATGTATCCCTCTGAGTCCATTCAATTTCGCTAGCGGAACTTTCAAAATACCAGACGCACGTTGTTAAAAAACCTCATCACTGTAATGACGCTATGAGGTGATAGAGCTCTGATCCCTAGCTAGTCGTGGGACCCTTTATAGGCCATGAAATGATCTGACATTGAATCTACAAGGGAGATTTTCATCGACTAAAAAACTCCAACTGTCCTGCCTGTAACATCGAAGCATGAGCTTTTCAATTCTTCAACTTTTGATCCCTTCAAGAAACCTAAAGTCTATCCAAATCCAAGATAGAGTGAAACAAAACAAAACCGAAGCGTGATGTTCACGTGATCACCCAGTGTCAGATGGAAAAGGCAGCGTTCATTGGTGAATTCGCCTTCTTGGTACGAGTTAGGTACCAGCACAGGGTTGTAATCAGTCGTTTGTGTGGCGTGCATTATAGTATATTGTTTAAAATTGTTTTCCAAGATGTCCAGTACAGACACTGCTGATGACACTGTGAGCTATCCTCTGAGTCCAGCCAGGAAACNGAGTGCGCTGTGAAAAATCCAATGAAAATCTTTTTATATTACACATATTATCTGCATTTTTCCCGTTAAACTGCAAAACTTGTGCATTTCACTCGTTATTATAAAAAAGTTTTCCTAAGTATGATATAGCATTTGCGATCAACAAGATGTTGGTTCTGAATACGACCCTGGCCAATTCTTGGGATTTTCAATATCACGTACGTAGGGCATGTCAATGTTTACATTCACTCTATCTGGGATTTGAATTTGCTGATGGTGTAACCACCAGCTGTAGCTGACTAACGAAGACCAGTCAACTGATCGACCAGTCAACTGATTATCTTCACTATGCCATTATGGCTATTGTAGACGTTGATCCAGAAGGTGGTTCACAGGCATGATTCTGAAGCTATACATTTCGGTCTGGATAGTTACAGGTTACCTGAGAAGATTAAAAGAGCTCCTGTTTGGCTGATGGGTGTAGTTATAACATACATCCATGGTATGGCATCTTCCTGAAATATGTCACAAGGAATCTTCTTCTCAAGCGATACATTTGTGTAGCATATCTACCGGACGAAGGTAATCACAGACTGATCGCCAAACAGGTCCTCACTAGATTGAAGAAAATGTACAGTTGTCTGCCAATCAATGAAATTCAGACTGGGGGGGTCGCACCGTGGTCCAGATAAGAATTCATTCGATTGAGTTTCGATAGTTGTGAACCATAATAAGTCCTTACGGGTTGTAGTAGAGGGTCAGATAGACCCCTTCACTTTGGACCGACCTAGCTACCTACCAATCTACTAGTATTTTTAGAATAAAAAAAACATGAACCCTCAATCTATATTGGGTGCAATCAATGAGAAATATCATCAGACTCACTTGGAGAGCGCTGGAATGTCGTATGCAATTTTGATTGTATTAATTTGGCCTGTAACTGCAGCAGACAAGCTGTAACCCTGGGGAGCCAGGGCATCTCTCAGATCGGACATTAATGCTACGAAGTTTTCCTGCAACAAATATATAAACAAATGTGAGTGTAATATATATAATAAGGGACGTTATTGTGGCCAAGGTTCTGAAGAAAATAATTCTGTGAAAATGAAAAGATCAACAGATGAGTACTATTCCATTCACAATTTGATTTCAATTTAAGAACCACCAAAGCTGTTTCAGCCTATTGATCATCATTAGTATCGGGCTGGCGGTCGAGTTGCGGACTCGATTTGTATCAAGCACCTCTTTGGAAGAAATGCTGAAAAATTGAATCTATTATCAAGAGTGTTGTAGGTCGAGAGTTTTTGACGAAATATTCTACATGGGGAAGGGATCCAAGTGATCACACCAATGATATTCTGTGAATTTTGGGTGGCCCTTGAAATCGAATTTTCCGGTCTACTCCTCAGACAGTGCTTCAAGTGGTTTGTAACTTAACGCCGATGTCACCATCTACCTACTCAGGTCTTGCCACTGGTCTCCGCGTTTTCATGAGATGTCGAGAAGAGTATTTCAGTTCTGATGATTGAGGAAAGTACAAGTACTTTGTAAAAGTTTTAGAGTTTACATTATCCGAGATAAATATAGTTTCACTCACCTTATCGATAGCTGGATTTGACCCATCTCTGAACCCAGGATAAGCCCAGTCCAATTCAAAACCATCGAATTTCCACGTTTTGAGGAACTGAAGTACATTTGACGCAAAGCTTTTTCTCAGAGTTGGGTTTTTTGCCAGTTGTGAATATTTTCCAGATCCTTCATTCCAACCTCCCATACTGACTAAAACCTTCAAATCGGGATTTTGTTGCTTTAGACCTATTAAGTGTTCGAAGCCCTCTGTAATAATGTTATTCGCCTTAAATCTTCCATGACTGGTAAACGAAAACATATTACTATATAATCATATGATAGACTTACTGGGACCATATTCTTGGTTCGATTCCCAAGGATCCAAAATTTTAACTGTTCCATCATCTCCAAGTCCAACAAACGTGAAACTGATATGAGTACATAAAGAAGGATCTATGTTATTCACATCGAACTTTCCTTTTCCCGTTCTATAGAAGGTCCAGCTTGCGAAATAACAAAATACATTTCCCCCTGAAACTTCATTTGATACAATCACTTTTTTGTGTCAGATAGAATTTATTGTCGTTCAGTTTGTTGTCAAAAGATGAAACAATCGCTGTTGATGAACTAGTCTAATTGCGAAGCCATACCAACAGAAGCATTGAAGACATTTTTATTCAATCTATCTCCTTCACTTCTTGTAATAGTGGGGAAAGTATAAGTGAGGCAATTCAGACTGCAGAGTGCACCAATCTACACGAAATCTGTCATTCTTGGAAATACATCGACGCACTTATACCAAACACCGTCCGTCTGGGAGAACAGAAGAATTGTTTCAAGAAGGCAGGTTTCGACTTAAAATGATTATGGAGTTAGTTTCTGGCTATGAAAAGGACAATTGAAACACGTTTCAAAGACGTCAGCTGCAGGCAAAGCAAAAATGGGACCCAGGCAGCTCTTGTGTCTTTTGCGAATGTGAGGCACTGGATTATAAGTAGTGAATAATTTACGGACTATCCAAATCGTCAGCATATATATGATAATCAAAATAATTCGTTGTTTTGCAATGACACTGCTTGTGTATAGTGCCCAGAACAGTGTGTTGTGGCACCCTAAAGTTTATCCAGCTTCAACTAGAGTTGTCAAGTTGGACCTTTGCAATCATTTTCCAGATAAGATAAAATCACCGTACTAGCTGAACTACTGAAACTAAAATACTTGAAAATAGCTAAACATTTTATGGTTAATATGTTGTTGAACGCTTGTGAATAGTCTAAGAGAAGAGTGTCGATTCATTTGAATCTAAAGCTTTACAGAGATCTGAAACCTGATTGACAGAAGGTTGACATGAAGCTTAACATGATTCCAACTTGACTATCCATGAACCTTTCTATAAGTTCGCTTTTTGACTTCAAATCATTGTAATTTTGGGGATGACTTTTGAAAGCGGTATGACTAGCCTAGCCTAGAACTAATTACCTGATTATTAGCAGCCCTACTTATGGAAACTATTGTGTAGCGAAAATTACAATAGACTATATTAGTGAGTTTTGATATGGATTTTCAACAAGTATCGGTCAGTTCCATTCAATGGGTATGAATTTGTTACAGATTGAGAATTCACAGACAGTGGAAAGAGAAATCTCAGTAAAACCAAATGTTTAGAGACCTTACCTGAGGAAATCGAACTAAATATGAGTAACAATACACTTGAAATCAATAAGAACTGCTGCATTTTGGTGGCGGATCTTATACCCTTGTTTTGATCTCACAGTTATATATACAGGTTATAATCTTATCAATATTTTACTTAGCGTAATCCATATTTCAAAATTCTCTTAAAAATCATTAGACACGAGTACTTAGTGCAGTTTTTGATAAGAAAATTCTTACTATCACCGATTTGTAGAATTTTCTTTATTTTGATATGCTGTGAACAAAATATGATACTGAGTACTGATAATGAACCATATTCATGTCATCATAATTACAAATGGCGAAGAAAAAATATCCATCATAAAATAATAATCATCCCTTGAAAAAGCCATACCAAGTAGGATACTAGGCTATTAGCGGTATAATTGCTCATTATTTTTTATTCTTTCCAGACAACACCGAATATCTTACAGATATTTGACTCAAATCTTAGATTGTGACATGAATGACCATATATACATTCTATGAGAAAATAGACCTTCAAAGAAAAAGCAAGTAAGTTAGGAAAAAAATTCGAATACTCTCATTAATTCTCAAAATGTTGGTTTGCTTTTGATGTCTCGACCCATATCCCTTTTCTATTGATAGGAAACAGTATTTTTTGCATAATTCAATGTCCATTTACAAGTAATTTTACGAGGGCATTTCTTCTAGTTTGTGTCTAAAATTTACTTCCTTGTACGATCTACATATCTTTGTAAAGAGCTTATTTTGGAATTAATTGCCTTCTCTCTTTCTTCGGAATATTTCCACATAGTCCAGTCATCTTAGTAAGTTCGCCTCGGAATTCGTGATACCTAGTTATAAAGTTGTATCTTGATTTCCGAAAGGTTGTCTCACACTATACAATATAATTCAACATTTGTCCCTACTGGCTTAAATAGAATAGAAGTGTTCGTACTATATAATAGGGGTCCTAATTTCCAGGTAAAAAAGGTGTACTCAATTATGTAGGTAATTGAAGTTTGACCTCACCAAATTTTGGCTAAGATTGCTGGTGTAACATTTTTTGTATACAAATGGAGAAGTAGAAAATTAAAACTTTCCTGTCTGAAAAATTAATCTCCTCAGAAAATATATCCCTTTCAATTCAAATGAGATTCCTATGGCTGGGATCGAATCAAATAAGCGAATTAATGTCTATACGTACTGTCATCGATGACATGAGTAGATTCAACTCATTCGTGATGTAAAGTCGTAATTTTATGAATGAGTGTTTCATCATGTAACGTTATGAATGAGTGTTTCATCTTGTAATGTTATTCAGATTGGTGCTGAGGAGGCAATAAGATAAGTGTCCAATTCCGAAACATTGGATGTCCGCCATTGAAGGTGACAGTGTTCCATTTGAGTGAATAGTGAAATTTATATACTACATTGTATAGCAATCCTGTGAATGAAATCTGAGTCAAGTCCATTACAAATGTTTGGAGTACAAACTGGATAGGAAAAAGTGCACTGACACCTGTCGGATATAATTCAACGCCCTTCGTGGTATTAGCCAGGAAAGTAGTTGTTTTCTGATAGATGTCAGTCTATTAACCTACAGTGTAGGGAGTTGAGACTGGACTGACCGAATTGTTCTTTTAGATGATTTGTTTTTGATTAATTCATTGTTCATATAAAAGTAGTTGTTTCGAAAGTATTTTTCCTTTCGTGTCATTCAATGTTTATATGAAAGTAGTTGTTTCAAGGGGGCTTTTCTTCCAGTTTGCTTGAAATCTGTTTTTCCGTTAAACAGCTGTCGCACCCCTACGAACGACAACTCTTACAAGTCGAAACTTGTGCGAGCTACGGATTAATGAGGTCTCACCTTTTAACGTGTGATTCCCAACACGGGTTGGACGAAAGCAAGTGAAAATCGATCGATCAGACTAGGGCTTGAACTACCGACCAACAAGGCAGTCAATTCGAGTGAGTGAACAAAGCACCCACGTCGAACCGCTTGGCTACCGACCGACCGCATGATGTACACAGTCGTAGAGAGACGCCTTAATATTGTTTTGGACTCTTCTTGACTTTTTTTTGAGTTGTGGACTTTTTGAGATCTTGACTTCAGAGCGACTATTCGATTTTTTTAGGTAAAAAATACACGCACTTTTGAAAACAGTCGTGATCTCCAGGCAAAGTCCAACTCAGTTGGGCACTCCTACGGTTTCTTAAGAATTCATATGTTGCTACAGTTCCACATTTCATCTACGTGCATAATAACGTTTGTTTGGGATTTGCCTAATCCGCTGATAGCGAAAAATATATTTCTTTATCTTTGATTAGCAAGAATACTTTTGAATCAAATAGAAAGAGATGAAAACGAATTCTAGGAAAGATAATAATCATACGATTATGGCGAACTATAACGTCGTGCTTCACATTTTTTCGACAATGTATCATGGAAACGACAATATTTAATAAAAATAAGAGAGTATTGAAAAATGTATTGCCTGAATGGAACGTTGCAAACGCAGGCCAGACTAACTCCAGAATTTGGTCATCTAAAGGAACAATTCGTTCAGACCAGTTTCAACTCCCTACACTGTAGGGAGTTAATGGACTGACACCTATCAGAATACAACTACTTTCCTGGCTAATACCACGAAGAGCGTTGTATTATTTCCAATAGGTGTCAGTGCAGGATTTTTCACTGAAGTTATTCCTGCATATGCTGTTGGCGATACAATTACCGCAATAGACTACTATATGTGAAAACTATACGAGAAATTGGGCAAATTTCGGATATGCGGTTGGTTACCTCCTTCACAGGCAGAAGGGGCGATGACAAACCTGTTGTTTGTTGTCCGCTTCAGCCTAGTTCGAGGAATGATACCCTGAAGGAATTCGATTTTCAATTATCGGAACTCATCGACTTTATGTTGATGAAAGACACTAACTTACACTGACTAATGGCCAAACAGCCCGAAACCAGTCTGCAAGTGTGTTCCGATGATTGAAAATCGATTGCGTCTAGTTGTATCGCCAACAGCATGTGCAGGAATAACTTCGATGACGAATGCTGCACTGACACCTATCAAATATAATACAACGTCCTTCGTGATATCAGCCAGGGAAGTAGTTGTTTTCTGATAGGTATCAGTCCACTAACCTACAGTGTAGGGAGTTGAGGCTGGCCTGAACGAATTGGGACTTTAGATGATTTGATTTCTAGCCAGTCTTCAAATATGCCCACTGTCCAAAATTTGGATTAATGAATCAATAACTTCTTCAAGGCAAGCATTTCAGAATGGCCTCTCCACTGGCTTGAAAACCTCTTCAGATAAGAATCGAGTCATTATACTCTCAAGAAAACGCGTATGTTTGTGAACAAGATAACTTGTTATTATTATTTGATGTATCTAATATATAACAATGAATGTTTGTTGGTTGGTTGGTTGGTTGGTAAGTGATAAACTTCTACATCGCTCAACCGATTGTGATGAAACTTGACATGTAAAAGGAATTTTTCATAGAGAAGGTGTTTAGGCTATCAATTTTTCTGTAACTCGCCACTAGGTGGCGCGGTAGAACAATTTTTTGAAAGCACTGTTCTATAACGCTGCGCACGCCTAAGTTCGTTGATTCTGACTCTGTCGAAACATTGGAACAGCAGCGATACAGCAACATAGTACTAGTTTCGTATAAAAAAACGTTTTTCAGGAAAAGGAAAAAGATTGATAGAATGTCAGATAGAAAGCTAAACCGGTTTTGTCTTTGAGATTTTGTGGGCCTTCGAGGCAAGCAAAACGGACGACTATCATGAGGAAATGGATGGCATATCTTTTGAAAATTGGTTCAGGTTTTGGAACTAGAAGAGAATTGTGTAATTGTTTTAGACAACGCTCCATAATATTATAGAAAAGCTGAAAAAATTACTACTACAGCCACAAAAAAGCTATACTTCAAGACTGGATGCGTTTGAAAAGTATATCATTCGAGGATAACATGGTAAAAGCAGAATTTCTAAAGCACGTAAATTACGTTTTTCCCCTTACCTCTGCGGGCTCAACCCAATAGAGCATATTTGGGAGGACATAAAAAACTATGTTCCCAAAAAATTACTACTTTCAACTTTTGTGATCTTAAAAATAATTTCAGTGAATCTGTTTCGTCTATTACTGCTGAAAAACGAAATAATTGCGAATGGCATAAGAAATATAATGAAATGAACATGTTGAGATAAGACCATCTAATGGATGATTCTGTTGCCAGAAATCCGTTGACAATAAATCTCAATGATGATTCTTCTAGTAGCAGTTCTTCAGAATTTGGGTAATTGATCTAGAATGACAAAACGATTCATTATTTTATTATTATCTTTTGTTTCATACGCTAAAACATTATTTTGAAATTCAAAAACCCGTTTACACCGCTGAAATGAAGTGACCCCATTTTTTGTAGTTTTTCTCAATGTTGAATGCGCAAAATTGGTAGTTGAACTTTGAATAATTTTCCTATCTACAGCCGCATAATATCGAAAAAAATTAAATTTTTGTCGTTCCTTAGTGCGACTCTGTACAAGCAACCTTGTCTGGGAGATCACGTGCACTATGCAGTACAATGTTGTGGAGCACTTCGTTGCTTCGATGGGCAGAGTATATGATTCAGCAAGATGGGGAACCTTATTACCACGGCGAACGACGATAATTATTGAAACCAGTGGATAGGTGAACGTAGTCCCTTCGAATGACCCTCTGCATTACCTTCTAGGACACCCTTTTTGGACAATTGTGACGTCTAAAGTTTACATCCACAACTAGAGCTCATGATTAGAATAAGAGATGCGTGTAACGAAATTACTCCAGAAACATTCAATAATGAATTCGTAAACAAACTTCATTATTGCCAGAAAGTGATAGGTTACCAATTTTAACATTTATTGGGAATACCTGGAGTGAATTTGTGAATCCTCAAAACTAATAGAACATTCTGTATGTGTAGAGTAGGGAGGGTGAGTGTTGGCCCACAGTACTAAGGTCACATGTGACCCATTGTACATCCTCCCAAGGAGTTGTCCTCCTAGGTTATCGTCTATCCTGTCCTTTCCAGGAAGGTGAACAGGTCTTTGGGTCTTCTCCAGGTCTTCTTCATATTGGCAGATGTAGGTCACGACCCGCCGAACACACACTCTCTTATTGACAATAACTCCGGTCATTCGCATAGGATATGCCTGACAGTTTCATTTTCCTGTTCACACATACTGCATAGAAGCGTGTTCACTAGCCCCATATTGTGGAGGTGTTTCCTTAGTTGACAGTGGCCAGTCATAAATCCTGCTGTAGATTTTTCCTGGTCATCGCTAGATATTTCTTCGGTGCCAGCTTCCCAGGGTCGCCAAGGTTGATCCTGGCAAAATTTCATTCTTTGATTCCATCCCATCTCTTTTGGGATTGAGCATAGGTGTGACGTTTGGCTGGTTCCGCTATTGTCGAAGTCATCAGGCCGTAGGTGCCACAGATTCCCAGGGTTGCCAAGGTTGATCCTGGCAAGATTTCATCCTTTAATTTCATCCAATCTCTTTAGGGATTGAGCATAGGTGTGACGTTTGGCTGGTTCCGCTATTGTCGAAGCCATCAGGCCGTAGGTGCCACAGCTTTCCATGGTCGCCAAGGTTGATCCTGGCAAGATTTCATCCTTTGATTTCATCCCATCTCTTTAAAGATTGAGCATGGGTGTGAAGTTTGGCTGGTTTCGCTATTATCGAAGTCATCAGGCCGTAGGTGCCACAGCTTCCCAGGGTCGCCAAGGTCAATCCTGGCAAGATTTCATCCTTTGATTTCATCCTTTGATTTCATCCCATCTTTTTAGGGATTGAACATAGGTGTGACGTTTGGCTGGTTCCGCTATTGTCGAAGTCATCAGGCCGTAGGTGCTACTGGTCCTAAAATTCGTAGTCCTAGCGCTTCCTTGGCTAAGAAGTCACAATAGAAAATTGTTAACTACTCAGGATATTAAAAAAAACTTTCAAACGAGTTATTATAAGTGCGTCTTCTCTATTTAAAACAAAAGTTGCTAGCGCAACGAGTGATGCAATACTTTTGTTTTTCTTGCCAAAAAGTACTAAAAATTATACTTTTTTAAGTGAATTTTGTCAGATCTTGATATTTTGTTCAGTTCAAAAGTTGAAAGGGGAGGGGAACTATTTAAGTCCGCACTGTATTACTCCATATCATATTCAAATTTGTTTGTTGAAGGATATTTTGTTCTCACGGAAAACTGGAATATTTTAGTGCCATAAATCATAATAAAATTGAAATTATGATGGAATTAAATAAATCATTTACTGCTTTGTAAACCTTGTGTTAGTTCATGTAACAAGTACTATTATACTCTTGATTGATAAGAGACACTGCACTAAGGAATGTTAATTTGAAATAGATTATTATTGGTTCTGTACATTCGAGCCAAATATATTCAATGTGATGCATAGGTTCAAAGCACACTGAGACGGGGTTAGGGAACCAGTGAAAATACAACTTGATTCTGAATTATTTTCTGTTGCTTGTATTCTTCAAAATATTTCTCAAACTTGAAGTGTTAGGATGCACGAGAAGACTATTTTCCATGCGTTCCAAGGAACCTTTCCACAGCTCATTGCAGTACTGACAGGTGAGTCAAGTTGGGATTCCAGAAGACTGTTTTTCTGTGTGATTGAATCACTGAAGTTCTTGAGCTATGATATCCTAAGATAGGTGCATATCGTGCCTCAATACCTTCTTTCCTTTAACTTTTTTAATTTATTATAATGTGAAATCTAACGGTATTTCAACAGATATTCAATTCTTGAATTTTCCAAAATTTTAGATATTATGACATCAAAATGTATCTTTTTGTTACCAATAAACCCGAGTAAAGCAAATTGAATTGTACCTATAATGCTTGTTTTGGGGTTTATTTTTGCTTAAAAGTCTTCTTTCATTTAGTTTCGGATTTGTAGTCCAACAAATAGTAGATTAATTGCAGATGTACCTCAAGGTTCAATTCTCGGTCCTACGCTTTTCGTAATCTACACATCCCAATGTCCATAGTGTCACACTGAAATTCATAGCTAAACTTATGACACCCAAATTTTTTAACGATTTTTAGAATCTCGGAATCTTCTGTAGCAGTTGCTTGTGAGCAAATAAATGCAGATTTAAAATCCTTACTCACAACCTCAATGAAGTACTGCCTGACGATCAATCCCTCCAAAATAGTAGTAATACTATTTGGTCGAACAGCAACGAGGAAAAGATGTAAGAGAAATATTGATATCGTTCTGGACGAGCAGCAGTTGTCTTCTCAGAATCTACGAAAAATCTTGTTCGCATAATTGACCAATCCCTTAAGTTCAACTCTCATGTCTCCCAAATTATAGAACGTGGCTATAGTAATCTGAACTCAATATACCCGAATAGGAAGTCATTGAACGAAAAATCGAAGAAAATATAATGCGATATCCAAGTTCTCTCTCAACCCAACTATGCAGATATAGTATATGGCTCAGCGTTACGTTTATCTGATAAAAAGAGAATACAGACCCTTCAAAACGCATGCCTCAGACTCATTACAGGAACTAGGAGGGGACAACAGGTGTCTCATTTTTTGGAGAGACTGGAATGGCTAAAAATGGAAGTTCGACGCATATTTTATGCTGGTATCACCTACCATAAGATTATAACAACAAAAGTACCCAGTTATCTTCACGACAAAATAAGATATAGAACAGACATCCATAATTTGAATCTGAGATTCAGAAATCAACTAACTACACCCCGTTACAGAACTACATTATTTCGTGGATCCTTCTCTTATAATGTCGCCTAGCTTTCTAATCGAATTCCCAATTCACTAAATTCACTATCCGCGCTAGATTATTTAAATAAACTCAATATTTACTTACTGGAACACAAAATGCCTTGACTCCTCTGTCAATAAAATAATTTTGATGTTAATGAGCATTCCATACAGTTTGATTTTCATTAGTTTTTTTATTGTTGTTAGTACCTACTAACAAAAATGATTCTAGTGCATTTGGAACTGAAATATATCTAGGATTCACATATGTTGTGGATTTGCAAAATTTTCATTTATTTTTTTTTCTTTAGGTTGAATGGAAGAGCAACTTCTGATTGAGTCATTCGTGACAAGATCAGAAATTGAATTCTGCCTTTTGATAGGTCCGTGGGTGGATTGTATATATTGTACTACATGCAATCACCTATCAATAAAAACAATTAATTTTATTAGTATAACACCAGTCAGCGCTATTTTGACCCGCTGAGATATCATAATTGATTCTAGGCTGAACCACGAATGCATTGTTGCCTCAACTGTCTTTGAAGAATCAGCCTGAATGTCGTCGCGGCAGATACGATGACATTTTCCATTATGAAAACGACATATATGAGACCGACAGGAGACTAAATCTACGAGTAACAAAAATAAACTACATTATTATCACGAATTCATCTCAAACAATCAAGTGAATTAATATATTCTTCAGAAGCCACTGTCCACTGACAGCACTAAACTCTTCTCACTCCAATAATTTCAAATAAATTTTGCAATTTTTTAAGTTTCTGTGATTGTTTTGAGCTGAGTTTTTCAGTTTTTCACGAACGGTCCCTTCATTAAAGGTTTTCCCATGTATGTTTCTGTGTACTCTGGTACTGGTCCGTACTGGTGACCCTGCACCTAGTTCAGAACCTATATATGGAGTTGATGATCCGTGTCTGGTAAACTCATCAACTTTTTTGTTGAGAGCGGTCGTTTGTTTCACTACCAAGTATATGTATCTATAGGTTCAACAACCATGGTGTATAGTCAATATATCACGTCTGGTTCCAGACCCCATGTCTCTCTGTAGATGTGTCTGACCAACATTAGTGCTTTGCCTTTCTTTTCACTTTTCATGGATGTTGATTATAGAGTTTTAGAGGTACTGAGCCCTATTTCTATTGAATTCTACTGCATTCAATTTCGTTGGGCTTATATTCAGTTTGTCTTCATCGGTCCACCTTGCTGCAATACTCGAGGACAGCTGCATGCGTCATTTCTCATAATAATTATATTCACTCTGGACGAGGGTGACCAAGTCGTGAGTCGTAACTCAGTATTCATTATTCTTTATAGTCCAGAAAACTTAATAACTCGTCCACTACAAACAAGTTTCTATAACAATGGACCAACTCCTCCAGACGATAATTTCTTACCCTTCCTTAAAAGTCGTCTACACTAAGCATGTAGTTCATCTACTCGTAGCTTGTGCCATCGATTACTCGTCTCTTCGCGACGCCAGAAAGATTGATTCTAGTGACGAATTATCAAAAAATCAGCTGTTATTACTTTCTTGTTCTTGTATGCATAATATACATTTTCCGCGATACAACATAAAACCGTTTCCTTTGACATACCTGATCTGTTTTCATATTGATCTCTATGGTCTGGTGGTCAGTATTTTAACATGCATGTCAAGCTTTTTATTAACGTTAGTTAACACCAGATATATAAATGGTTCAGTTTCATTTCAGGGACAATTGGAGCAATTTCCGATGGAATGAATTACGGCTGGAGCGCTCCTGGAATCCAGGTGTTGAAAAGGGAAGACTCTCCAATCCACTTAGAAGCGAACGACTACATATGGTTAGAAAGTGTTTACATCATTGGCGGGATTGCAGGGTTACCCGTTACAATTTTTGCTGTGGATAGAATTGGGAGAAAATGGTGTATTTTGTTTTCGGCTACTGTTTCTGTGATTTCATGGTTGTTGATAGGATTAGCAGATAGGGTTGAGTACCTTTACGTCGCCAGGTTCATGGTGGGACTGTCTGGAGATGTTGCATTCGTAGCAGCTCCCATGTACATCGCTGAAATAGCCGATGAGAAAATCAGAGGTTTTCTCGCTGGAATAATTTACGTGATGATGCTAATTGGTATTTTGATAATCTATGCTGTAGCTCCATATGTACCGTTTTATGTTCCATCCATCATAGGAGCTGCACTGGCTTCTATTCAATTGGTTACTTTTCCTTTTATGCCAGATTCTCCGTACTATCTATTGTCCAAACAAAAACCTGAAAGAGCAAGGCTACATCTACAGAGATTGCGTGGTTCAGAGAATGTTGCATCAGAGTTTGAAGAGATAACTGCTGCTGTTAAAAGACAACAAGCCGAGAAGGGAAGACCTCAGGATTTATTTTTGTCAAAAGGTAGTAGAAAAGCTGTCTTGATCATGATTGTGTTGAATGGTGCACAGCATTTAAGCGGAATAAGTGTATTTTTAATGAACTTACATGAGATTTTGTTAGCGGCTGATTCAGTTTATATGAGCTCTGAAATAGCTGGTATTCTGTTTGCGTCACTAATGTTAATATCAGCTTCCGTTGCCGATTTCGTTATCGACAAATTTGGTCGTAAAGCTCTCCTCATAACTTCAAGTTTATTAACTGGCTTATGTTTACTAGTTCTGGCAATATTCTTCTCATTGAAAAAAAGCGATATGGATGTAGACGGCATTTCTTGGATTCCACTAGTATCTGTTATGGTATACGCTACAGTTTTCAAATTTGGACTAGGCATCGTACCAATAGTCATGACAGCAGAACTATTTTCTGCGAAAGTTAAAGCTTTGGGAATGACATTTTCCGATTTGTTTTATCTTTTATTCGCTTGGATTTCTGTAGAAGTTTTCCAAAGACTTGCGATAACTGTGGGTTACGATATTCCGTTCTATGTGTTTTCTGCAAGCACTCTACTGACCGCTCTATTTGTTCAGGTTTATATACCTGAGACTAAAGGAAAGACACTCGATGAAATTCAATTCATTTTGAAGGGAATTCCTTTTCCACCAAGAAGCAATAGCATCAGGGCGAATTCACTATTTTGTGATTCCAATGAATATAAAGATGACAAAAGGAACGGAGAATGAAATATTTTGGTGTTTAAGTTGGTATGATATGATTTTCCTAAAAAGCCTCAAATATCGCCTGGCATTTGTTCTGATTTTCAAATAGTAAGAAGTTGATATTGAAGGAAATGGAAAAGGTAACGAAATTTTGAAAAGGTATNCCAGGATGAATAGTAAAAATTTTAGATTTACAATTCAATACTTAAAAAATAATACCGAACAGGTGAAAATGATGATTTTCCAAATAGACGTTGTCCAACCTTGATAACTTGTTAAGCTCAATGATTGAAAGGAAGGAAAGACGTTTTACGTCTGCACTGTATATTAATCGTCTATAAATTCAGGGTGTTCCATTCAAATATTATACAGGGTGTTTAAGGTCTTCATGTCCTAATTCAACAGGTATAATCAGGAGGTTGTGAAGAGGTATCGATAAATATCTCCATGCTATTTTATGACGCAAACAATTGCATAGTTACGAAAATGATATCCGAGCTAACCCTGATGAGATTCAACGATACGAGTGATCTTGTTCGCTTGGTAATATGTCAAGAGAAGCTTATTGTTTATGGATCTCAGGTTTGTTACACAAAAATTCTATTTTCAATAACGTTCATTTGAAATACGTATTCCATGTTCGAAATACCTACAAAATGTTGAATTTCATTTTATGAATCAGATCAGTTCCACTAAAGAATTGTGCAGGAGCATCAGCAGAACCTTCAGTAGAAATATTCAACTCATGTCTGATGTCTGGAACAATTCTGAGTATTTGGAAATTAGCTGAAGTGTGTTCTGTACCTATGAAAGAATTGTGAAAAATTGCTCATTGGAAACCATACGCCCATACCAATTTTATGTTTGTTTACAAAAGTCTTTGAGATTATTTTATGTAATCGAATATATGTCTCTATTCGAAGTCTGATTTGACATCAGCATGGCTTTGTTACTGATTGTTCAACTGTAACAAATCCAGTCACTATATCCGAACCATTAGATGATATTAATCAAGTTGAGTATGAGTGCCTATAATAAAAAATGGTCACGATATTCATAGTGTCTTTATTGAAATTATATTCATATTTCATTTTATCCTAATAACGTTAGAAAACTATTCAATTACTTTAATGAAAGTAAGGTTCAAAAATATCTAACACAGAATATTATCTGTATACATTCCACATATTCCATAATATGTCGGTTTTATATCTATATTTATATTTCATTCTATCTAATCAATGGAAATGTCCTTTTTACATATATAACAGACTGGAAAGACTTTTCGTGGACACATTCCACACTGTTTAGAAAAAATATCTCTAATACTGAAAATTTCAATTGTTCTTTAGACTAATGTGAACCGTCTATATATTATTATTTGATTCACAAGCGTAAAATGAAAGCTCGAAATCACAGTGGTAGATAGTTGCCGGAAAGTTCATAAGGAGCTCACTTTCTGTGAGTATTTTTCTAATTTTTCCGGGAGTTTTTTTGATAGCTGTGATATATTTTCCGCCTCTTCAATGGTATCGGGAAGGTTTATATTGGATGTTTCAGGAAAAAGGAGCGTCAACAAAGCAGCAACGAAGGACATTATTGAAAAACTGAGTACTGGTAGGTGAACCCAAATGTTTGCCTGAAAAAGAAAAATTTTAATAAATACGATACTGAGTGTAGTATTTTCAACCGAAATTTCGAACGATCAAATGAAAACCAACCAACCAACTTCCTGGTTTTCTAAAAAATAAAACCACTGATGAACGGTATTATTCGAAAGCACCCGAATAAGGAGCTTCTTTAGTTTCAGAGATAATACTTCAGGACAGTTAATCTTATTTCAAATGTATCTTTTGGTATTAGAGTGGTGAAATTGAAAATATAAAAGGTCCGAAAGAGGAAGTCTTTCTCGGAACCTGGGGTCATCCATGTTCAACGCATCGTGTAGATCGCGTAGCGCTGGGTTGTTGTGCGATCTGATTCTATCGAACACGCTTCCTGCGTGTTCTCTCATATACACGTCCACATATTGCGTGTCCAGGTCTAAGTCTCTGTATATGTATCTATTTGGGATATAGTACGGCGCGTTTACGGCGGCCTTTACGCTCGCGTTCATGAATGACTGTATCTGCTTCTTGTATGTCTGTGCGCACTGGCCCCAGGCAGTGCAGGCATACAGTATTATGGGCATGAGGACGGTTTTGATCATTAGTAACTTCACTTTCAACCCCATGTTGCTTCTGCGTCCTATGATAGGTGTCAGTCGTTGTCTGGCGTGTCTAGCCATTCCAATTCTCTGCCGTACATGAGACTGAAATGTTAATATCCTGTCTAAGATGACCCCCAAGTATGTCGCTTTGCTGGTCCACGGAATCTCTTGTCCGTTGAAGGTGACGTTGCTTTCCGGTTGTACAAACCTGCGGGTGAACAGTATCGCCTGACTCTTGTCAGGGTTTATACTTATCTTCCACAAGTTGGCTCACTCCTCTAATCTGTCTGCCTGTTGCTGCAAGTATCTTGTAACATGCACTTGGCTCGTGGATCTCGCCAGCACGTTCTTGGCCGTTTACCCAGATTTAATTAATATGTCCTGTGTTCTTAGCCAAGCTGTCAAGTCTTCTTCTCATGTTGATAATTATATTGTGGGCCATGACTGCAGGAATCCTCGGCCAAATCTACATGCCGCTGAACTTCTCTAATTAAGAAGGAAGTTTTCTTGCCATGAATTTCAGAAAAATTTGCTCACTTCCTGTGTCTTGATAACGTTTTAAGTTATTTCAATGTGGAAGTGGAGCTATCAAAAATATAATTTGAGGAAACTACATCTTAACCAAGATACTTTGAGCGGAGGATTCAACACGTCCAGTTGAACGGTTGTTTTTATGCATGAAAACTTGGTTCAAAAGAGAATTTGCGAACGGGCATACGGCATACTCAAAATTTCCTCTAAAAACTTTAGACATAAGGATCAACATGAATTGTACACTTCCATATTAATGATGTTGGAATAGAGAAACATTTTCAATTTTTCCAGCAACAGTCTTTGAATATCTATATAGATATCATTGAGGACAAGAAGTGAATATAATTAAAATATGAAACGACCTTACATTAAGTGAAGTTCGATCTTGATTATTTGTCCGAGATGATTCCATCCCCTCTCCTACTTTCTTTTAGCAAAAGTAATGTCAACAATAACAAAGATAGAAGGTAACAACATTCTTCAACAATGACTTCAAATTATGAGCAGATGCTGGGTTCCAAGAAAAATAAAACTGACAGTACACGAGCAGGGAATGAAGCCGACCATTGAGAGAGTGGGGTAATTTTTATCAGTGGAGAGCTTTGAATTCGTAGTAACACTGAGGAAGTGAGACGTACTATATAGATATCATCTCGGACAAGGCGTTTCATAAAATTGAGGAGTGAACTTCACTTAAGGTAAGTTTTTTTGATCTTTCATTTATGGTTTATGGTAACGTCGTACTTCACATTTTTTCGAAATGTATTATGGAAACGACAATATTTAATAAAAATTAGAGCCTACAGAAGAGAGGATAGAAAAATGTATTGCCTGAATGGAACGTTGCAAACGCTGGCCAGACTAACTCCAGAATTTGGTCATCTAAAGGAACAATTCGTTCAGGCCAGTTATTTTCAGAAAACAACTACTCCCCTGGCTAATACCACGAAGAGCGTTGTATTATATCCAATAGGTGTCAGTGCAGGATTTTTCACTGAAGTTATTCCTGCATATGCTGTTGGCGATACAATTACCGCAATAGGACACTATATGTTAAAACTATACGAGAAATTGGGCAAATTTCGGATATGCGGTTGGTTACCTCCTTCACAGGCAGAAGGGGCGATGACAAACCTAATGTTTGTCGTCCGCTTCAGCCTAGTTCGAGGAATGATACTCTGAAGGAATTCGATTTTCAATTATCGGAACTCATCGACTTTATGTTGATGAAAGACACTAACTTACACTGACTAATGACCAAACAGCCCGAAACCAGTCTGCAAATGTGTTCCGATGATTGAAAATCGATTCCGTCTAGTTGTATCGCCAACAGCATGTGCAGGAATAACTTCGGTGACGAATGCTGCACTGACACCTATCAAATATAATCCAACGTCCTTCGTGATATCAGCCAGGGAAGTAGTTGTTTTCTGATAGGTATCAGTCCACTAACCTACAGTGTAGGGAGTTGAGGCTGGCCTGAACTACAATAATGATTTTTCCATTCAGTTGATCAACATCTAAAAAATTACATCAATATTAATGGATATTTCTGTAATAATAATTTGTAATGTCAGTGTTCAGACCCTTTGGTCATAATTATGCACACTTATTTTACAAGTCATAAATGCGTTTCAAATATAAATTCGGCGCCAGCGACCGCCTGAGCAGAATAATGCACTAAACGTTGGGTTGGTTGCATATGTAGCAGGTGCGGGTCAGACTGAATTCATGCAGGATGGTATTTTGAGTAAAGATGACGTCGACCAGTAAACACAGTCACCGTGAGTACCACATATTTATCAAATATTGAATACTTTACTCTATATCATTACGAAAAATATATATTATAGTTACAATATAAGTAAATGGAAAGTCTACAGATATTCTCGTGGGTAGTGACTGGAGATTTTTTCATTCTTCCACCACCAAGTCCCTTGCCAAAACTACTCATTTGTCTCTTGATCCAAAGATCCGTCGGCCAATTCCACACAACCAGTGGAGGTTATTACTTTCATACATGTCGATGAGCAAGTCCTCTCTTCGACCTTTTCTGCTCCGTTCAAATACTCAGTTAATTGCGTAGAGAACCAATCTTGAGCAGTGGTCCTTAACAAATACAGGCTCTTGAAATAAGCGAGAAGGTTACTCACAATTTTCCGCCTGCCTCTTCAGTGACAATTTAGCAGCCACTAGCATGTGTATCCCATCAGAAAAGTGATGTTTGGTGGTCACTAGCATGCCTAGACTCAAAGTAAGCTATATACAGAAACAAAATTTTGTAAAGCGCTTTGTGTAATCCATTCGTATACACTGTGAGGTGTTTGAGGTGTTGAAATGACTGTTGGGTGTTGGTAAAAAACTCCATTCATATTCATTATTACACCAAAGGTTCCAAACAGTGCAACACAAGTACACTATAAGGTCGAGGTGTTGCTAAAGAGTAATCTTCAGCATATGCTCTTTAACTTTGAATGCTTTCAACATTCTCAAAATCTTTGCCAGCTACTGTGAATGATTTGTTTCTGTATCATATGCTTCTGTTTGCTGTCAACTTTGGTTGGCAATAAAGTGAAGTCTCATTTTCTGAAAAACTGCAATTTTTAAGCAAGAAATATTTAGAGTAGTCAGGTACACTAGGAGAAGTTTGTTTTGATATTGTACTCACTAGATTTTGACGAATAATAAAGTAAGTTTATACAAACATGAGACTAAATGAATCTTTCAAAAAATTAAACCTACCTGGTGGCACGAATACGAATGCAGAGCACGCTAAACCTGTCACCAAATATGAACCGCTTACTGCTTTCCTTCTTCCCATCAGATCTAGCATGAAAGTACAGCAAATATATGCTGGGATCTCAATAAGTGCTGTCAATATGAAATCCAGGTAGCTGTTCCCAGCAGCCAAACTAACCGAATTCAGTGTGAGTCCGTAAAAAAGGAAAGTACAGGTTATCCAGCAGAAACAGCAGTTGACCAACCTTAGAAATAAAGTTGTGGATTTGAGAGCTTTCATGAATTCACCTTCATTTCTATTTCCTTCCACGCTCTCCGGCGAGCCGAGTTTTTCTAGAATATTTTCGGAAAGTTCTTTGCCGTTGAATTCTGCTGCTTTTCTCAAGGTGGCTTTGGCTTCTTCTAGCCTGCCCTTACTTAGGTGCCACCTGACTGACTCGGGAACTAACCAAATGTAAGAGATGAGCAGAAAGGCCGGACTATAAAGAATGAAGATGAGTGGTCTGGAATAAAAATGTATTATCAGTGAACAGTTCATTCCCCAAGTTAATGATATATCTGTTACGGGCAACGTGATTAACTGGGCATTATGAATAAGGACCGGCCATTATTAATAATGTCCAAGAGCTATGGGGAAAGTCAATAATTTATCACTTCGACTGGCCATTATCAATAATGCCCGACGGCCCGTGGTCCATGTAATAAGTCAGTGTTTGAGATAGCTTGAATTTATTACTTGGACCGGGCATTATGAATAATTCTCTACTTGTAGCCGGGCAATGTGATAAATTGCCCCTCTAATGACATAATAAATGGAAACCCTCGACCAGACGATCAACAGCCTACTGAACTGGAACAACATTCTCCCGATAGTCTACCAGAAAATCAGCAACCCACTGTGAGTGTGGACATATCTAATGAATGAAAACCCGCGAGCATCCGATCAACAGCCTTCTGCCAATATGAGCAATGAAAAGGAAAATTCTGATAATGAAAAGGCTGCATCTTTACTTAACGCAAACTCAATAGAAATTCGGGAGGCTCGTAACGCAGGTAAAGAATCACTTGATAAGCAAGTCGAAAAAATGTTGGTGCGTTCAAATGCAAAATTTCCTTTTGCAGAAATAGGCCAAAGAGTTCGAGTAAGGATACCAGATTTAGATCGAGCCAATACGGATATTCGTAATATAATTGCTATTATTATATCTGTCGAAAAAGAAAAACTTTACAAACTTGGAACTAAACACGGTATTTTAAACTAACTGTACTCCAGAAATGAGTTTACGAAATGAGTTTACGATTTCGATGTTCCAAAAGTTGATATTACTCTTCGAGAATGTGCTCGAAGTAACTGTAGTGGTGACTGCAATTCAAAACATTGTAAATGCAAGAAATCAAAAATTCTTTGCAATTCCAAATGTCACAAAAGCTCATCTAAATCAGACTCATTTTTTGAGATTCCTTGTAGAATTGGAACCAGAAGATGTGCGTTCATGAAAATCACACAACTCTTATAGAATCTTGGGTAGATCGATATAGTGAAAACTGTTTTCTTGTCACCCATACAGATTTCGAAAATAAAATTGTTGAAACGATCAGACTAACTTTTCAAAACACCTTGTAGAATTGGAACCACAAGATGTGCGTTCATAAAAATTACACAACTCTTATGGAATCTTAGGTAGATTGACGTAGAGATAACAATTTTCATGTCAACCGAACAGATTTCGAAAACAAAAATGTTGAAACAATCAGACTCATTTTTTGAGATTCCTTGTGGATTTGGAACCAGAAGATGTGCGTTCATGAAAATCGCACAACTCTCATAGAATCTTGGATAGATAAATTTCGTATCCCAACCACAGATTTTTATTTTCCTCTACGTCAGCATGTGTGGCCAGAAATCTGTGGATAACTTCACGCCAATATTTAGTATATACATATGAATGAATATTTTTCAGCATCGTTTCGATCACATACCAGCCGATTCTTCAATGTTCATAATTGCGCCCAATTGGTATCATTCAACTCTTCTTTCGATTATTTCGAATTCATTTTAGTTAGTTTTTATTCTCTAAAATTGCAATATTGTCATTTCTTCTGTATTTTAGAAAAACGATACAACCCCCAGAATGAAAAAGATGCTGAAGAATTGTTGAAAATATTCAAAAATTGATCTGACTCGAATATTGATTTGAGCGATGATGAAAGAGGAGATATAGAAAGCGAATATGCGATTTCAGGAGTAGTTCGGGTTGGTGCTGATAAAATCGGACCACAGACAAGAGAGATATTAGAATCAGAGTCAGATGAAAAGGATGACATACCACTGTCAATTTTTGCTGGTCGTATGAAGGTTAAAGTGACTGCAAGAGCTTCGGTGAAGTGGTGTAGGCAAGTTTTCAAAACTCCTGAAATTGTTTGGAAGGAAAAGGAGAATGAAGACGTCTATCCAAAAGTACTTAGCCCTTTGAAATATTTCGAGAGATACATTGGTGAAACTGAATTTCAAGATATCGCCAAGATCACAAATATATATGCTCTTCAGAATAATACTAATTTCAAATCAACAAATGCTGATGAAATGAAAAGTTTGTTTGGATTACATATTGCAGCCGGAACCCTAAAATTTCCAAGAATTCGACTTTTTTGGAACACAGCGTTACGAATAAATCTTTTTCACGAAACAATGTCACGTGATAGGTTTTTCCAACTCCGAACTAATTTACACTGCGTAAATAATCTGGAAATGCCGGAAAATTGTCAAGACAAACTATACAAAGTTCGCCCCCTATACAATGCTGTTAGAAAACGCTGCTTCGAATTGGACTTAGAGGAAAATTTATGTATTGATGAGCAAATGGTTCCCTTTAGGGGAAGCATATCGATAAAACAATATGTGAAGGGAAAACCTACACCATGGGGTGTGAAAATATTTGTTTTGTGTGGAAAGTCAGGAATGGCATATGACTTTGTAATATATCAAGGAGCTACTACTGAATTAGACCAAGAATCTCTAAAAAAAATTGGCCTCGGAGCATCAGTTGTTNAACTGTAAACTCATTGCCATTTATCACCAACTTGTTTCTTCTGATGTAGCAATTCCTTTCTCCTCTCCCCCTTTCTTCTGTCAAGTGTCTTCTCAAAATTCTGTATTCTTCTTATTCCTTTTTTGTAAGATCGTGTACGATGGAAATACCAGAACCTTTTAACTTTTTAACGTTTCGTAGTACATTCTTTTTCGTTAAGTAGGAAATGAATTCTACTTTAACAGGACATTTCCTACCTTTTCCCAATTGGTATATCTTATTTATATCCTTGTAAGTGATATCAATCTCAAGGCGGTTATTCAGTTCTTGAACAACATTTTCTACTGAAATGTCTGAGATGTCTTCTACATCTATCCAATAAATGACAATGTTGTTTTCTTTGCTTTTTTTCTCGAGAAATTCAACCTTATTTCTCAAGGAGAAATTTTCTTTTTCCAAGTCGTGAATTCTAGTTTTGATGTTTTCGACAGTCAGCAATAACCTAGTTTCACTTGCCTTGATTGCATTTTTCAGTTCCTCTCTATTTTTTTGGATTTCATCTATTATTTTTTAAATGGCAGAGTCATTCATAGTTTTGGTTGTTTCAATTATATGTAGTATATGGACACCTTTAGTTAACGAGAATTGTTGTGGTCTTTTTTGTAGAGTTCATCGTATTTGTCTCCTTTTTTGCCGAGTTCGTCGTTCTCTGACAATACAAATGAATATTTCCACTAATTCTATTTCAATGCTTTTTCATGGATTGAATCAAGTGATTTTTCCACCGTATAATGATATCTAGTGTACTCACTTGTGTAAAAAATTTGGTTATTTTTGAAGCAGAGTTTACTATTTATTTAATATTTTGTTACACTTTAACACAGTAGCGTTCAAGAACGTCTGATTTAGAGCACCAATACACAATCTTGTAATGTAACCCAACTCTAATGTTTGGGTTTTTTAGAAAATAGTAATTCCAAAAGACCAAAACTACTTTAGAAATCGACATTATCTACGCAGTATTCATTCACCGTCAACATATTTCGGACCATAAGCATTGTCATAATCCACAGTGATATTTATTTAGTCCCCATTGATTCGAAGCAATCGCTGTGGTACCCAATGCAAAACTAATCCAACTGCTAAAATACCCCTACTTATGAAATCATCTCAAGACTTCTGAAGAACTTTGGAGATTTCTGAAGAACTCAAAAGCCTCTTCTCTCACATGATGTCAAGAACATTTTAGCATAAATTTTTGTTGGCGTACAACATCTGATCGTTATCTCGAATTATGAGAATGATTTTGGAACTCAAATTGAGAAATAATTTTTTTTTTATTCATTTAATAAAGTGGTTTGATAACGGCTATTTTGATTATGGAGGGACATACACCAGCTTTCATTATTTTGTTAATAATATATGCCATGGGTTTGGCGATTTCTCTTTGAATTTCCTTAAGACATTCTGATTCAATTTTATCAATTCCCGGTGATTTCAATACCTCATTGTCTGTGATAATTTTTTTGATTTTTGTTTCTTACATTTTATACTATTTTTTGTGTTCCAAAGGTGTTTCGAGCTTTTTTGTATTTTTTTCAATCTGTGATTTATAATAGTTTAATTTCGTAATTTCCATTAAACGATTCAGACGATTGCGGTAATTTTTAAATGCTTCTCCATAATCTTCTGGGTTCTCCTGATATTTCTTATACAGTTGATTTTTTTGTATTTATTGATTTTGTTAGAGCTTTTGTGACCCAAACTTTCCTTTTTTCATCCTCTTTTTTCCTTTTGATTCTTTTTGTATGTTTTCGTGTCAGTTCGCTAATAAGTTCAATGAAGAATGAAGTAGCCATATCTATATCTGCCATCTCGTAAAATGAACGCCAATCATATTCGCATAATTCTCTCTTCAAGTTCTTGTAATCAATGTATTCAATATAGGATTCCATTAAGGCTGGAAGAGGTTCTGACTCAATGGGCATTTTCATTATTTGAGTATAATGGTCTGTGATATTTGAGCGCACAATTATTGGCTTACATTTTTCTCTGAACTCATGTGTTCTACATTTCAAAAAAATATGATCAATACATGAAGCCGACTTACCTTGTACTCTAGTATCTTTGTTTATCATTGATTCAAAATTATTTTCATACATTATGTTCAAGTACGCTGATACAATTTCGTCATCCTCAAGTTTGATATTTATGTTCATATCCCCGACAATAATATGGTAATCTGATGTTTTTTGTCTTGTTTGTTCCAGGTAAAATTTGAGCTGATCCAGAAATGGTATAAAATTCGTGGAATGAGGTCTATAAAGACCTGTGATTATTAATTTCTTTTTGTTTCGAGTATTGATTTGAATTTCTATTGCTTTGCATTCACTAATGCTGATAATGTTCGACACGTAATTTGAATTTTCCCTTATATACACAACAACACCATCGTTTTTATTGATATTTCCCTC